GAGCCACCCGGACACCCCAGCATTTATTTTTTCATAGAGTTTCCACATCTTTGCTTACATCACTCATCTCTTCTTGCATGTTATCTACTTTTTCCATTAGAGCTCTTAGCATATTAACCATAGTTATTTTAAATTCCTAGTGTGATGATTCCCAAATCTGCAATATCTGGGTCTGGTTCTGATGCTTGCTTTGTCTCTTCAGATTGTGTCTTATTTTCCTTTTAGCATGACTTTTATATTTTGGTTGAAAGGCAGACATAATGTGTGGAGTAATAAGAACTGACATAAATAAGTCTTTTGTATTAATTTAGCTAGGAGTTGTGCTGTGATTAATGTCTGCTGTAGGTATCAGAGGCTTCAGTTCCCACTAGTATTCTTGTTTGTGTCTCCCTCTTTGTCTTTTGGTTTCCATAAAAACTCCTTCTCGTATAGCATCTGAGCCTTGCAGCTCTTTCAGCTATAATGCTCTTGTTATACTGGACACCTGTTGATGTGGTGGTAAGGCATGGGGACAGTGCAAGTGTTCTATTATTCTGTGATTAAGTCTTGATCTTTTCATGGGTCTCTCTCTCTGCACCATGACCTTCACAAGTGCTTTAAATATTTTGTTTTCCCTTTAGGGGAGACAGGAAGGCTAGAGGGGGCCGGAGTTGGGTAATTTCTCTTCCCCTACAGTGGAGAAGGCTCTGATTTACATTGCTGTGTAGGTCTTTGTTATGGAGAACACGCTGGGTCTAGTTCAGAATAATTACTTTTCCCTCCCCCTGTCAGATGCACAAGGGTTTTTCTTGGCTTTATACTATGGGAATCTGGTGGGGTTCCTGGAGCTAAAACTAAAAAAAAAAAAAGGGGGGGGGGGAAGCCCCTAACACTGTGGCTCTCAAGAGTTTCTCACTCATACACTATTCTAAACTCCACTTGCAGCAATTCTTCGAAGTTACCCCTAAGGGTTTCTACCATTGTGTGGCTCTTACAACTTCTGCTCCTAGTCACCAGATCTCAGATGTGATTCCCTGTATTCTCCTGTCTTTCCAGATTTATGGTGGTGGTTTTCCCACTGACCTCAGTTCTCTGATTGATCCAAGAAAATTTACTGACATTCCGTTTATCTAGTTTTTTCTTGTTATAAGACGGGGATGATGATTTTCAAGCTTTTTACATGTTAAGAGCTATAACCAAAAGTCCTTCCTATTTTAAAAAATTTCATCATTTGTAAGATCAGGAACCTGAGGCTCACTGTGGTTAAATGAGTTGCTGAAGTCTTCTAATTCCTAAGCTGGTGTTCTGCCATTCACCGTACTGCCTCTGGTTGCTATTAATATAGCTCACAAAATCAGCCTGGGGAACACTCTGCAGGTAAAGCATATGGCAGAGCAGAGGGTGGGGCAAGGCAGGAGAAACAGGTGCACTGCTTTGAAAAAAACAATACACTGAAATCTCCTAACAGAGAGTGAACCTTAATAGCTGAGTAGTCACTTTAGCTTTACAAAAGGGTTCAGAAAAGGATTCTTTTATTAGTAAACTGCTTTTACAATGTATGACTAAATTTGTAAAACTGTTATATACATCAATAGCCCTTGAATGTATTCAGAGTCAACTAACGGTACTGAACCCTCACTATATATCAGTCACTATGCTAGAAGTTCTCACAGGGAAATGTTGTTGAATCGCAGTAACTTTGGAAATAGGTTCCTTTCTTCAGTATTTCCATTTTGCAGATTAGGAAAATGGCTTAGAGATATTTAAGGAGCTTATCCTTGATATGAAAAAAAGTAACTAGGGAGGTTGGATTCTAGTCTCTGCAACTAATTAGTTATATAACCTTGACCAAGTTATTTAATCTCTCTGAACTATACTTCACAAAGGGAATAAAAAATAATTATCTCCCAAGGTAACTTAGTGTATAAAAAGCACACTACCACAACTATAATAGTAACAGTAATTTGTATATAAATCTTTATATATAGTAACATATAAATAGTAATCATAATTAACATGTTATAAATATTAATATATTACTAATATACTGATGGAGATTACAAAATTGAATAGAAATAAATTCTCTTATATGGCCCCTTGTAAAAAAGAGCCATGAATCTCATAAATGTGTTCAAAGCACTCTGTAGCTCTGCGAGGTGTCACATAGTCTTAGATGCCAAGAGAAACAGTGTAAAAGTTAGGTTCTCCCTGGATGATAAGGCTGTTCAGGTCAGCATTTGTGGAAACATGACCATATCAAATTCCATCCCAAAGATGTTAAATTGAGTAGGATGTCAGACGCAGGTTTTTTTGATACAGTTCACGCGGAGTACAATAAGAACGCTGGAAACCAGGGCTGGAATCAGCTACTGTTGCTCTGGAAACCGTTTCCAGATTCAGTGGTTGCAGCTACCACCAAGAGTTCCTGAAAGGGCTGTGTTCTGATGCCTGGGTGAACCCTTAAGAAGAATTGCAAAGTATGGGGCAAATTTGAGGCAGCAGTCTGAGAAATATCAGCCTCATGTGCTGGCTCTCACCTTGAGCCAAATATTATCAACAGAGACATGCAGGGGAAAGGGGCTACTCCACCCATTCCTTTGGGATAGAGATGGACTGATGGGCAAAGAAGTGGAAAATATTCTAGAGGCCAGTCACGTCTATGAGCTAATCTAGGAGAATCCCAACAGGGCCACCATGACCCCAAATCTGTCCTTGACCACTGTGGGGTATTGTCACCTAGGCTCCTGGTTCTGCTAAAGTGCCAGGCAGGATCACTCTAAGGGAGGCTCCTATCACAGGCATCTGGTCACCTCCAAGGGGATCCTTAAGACCACAGAGCCCCTCTTGGTAACCATACAACAGAGGAGCTGTGTGACAGAAGAACACAGAAACAGCAACCTTGGAGAGCGGAAGTGGGGTGACTAAGGGAGTCCATTTATTGGTGAGGGAATGGGGTGCCAGCCAAAGTAACAAGTCCAGAGAGTTATTTCAGGCAGCACAACTTGTGACGGTGAGCAACAGGAAACAATTTGGGAAGACCACTCCAGCTAACCAACAGTTGTTAAGCTCAGGGATGTCTACCTGGTGACAGTGTAGCCTGAGTCATCAAGGGTTCGAAACTCCAAAGGCAACAAGTCCTTCAAGTGGCCTCTGACTCACAGGCAGTTCTATCTGTGGCTAGGCAGAGCCAGTGTGTGAGCTCCACGCTGACCGGTGCCATGATGTGCATCTTCAGGGAGTTGACAAAGGGGCAATTTCTCCAAATACAAGACAGGGACAGATTCTTTTTTGGCAGAAGCCACCTCGAAAATCATCAAATAAAAATGGTGGAGGAGTAGTGGGACACAGTGGAGGTCAGTTGGCTCACGAGGCATTTACTTTCCAGGGCAGGGGGGTTTTCTATGTAACATCTACACCTGTGTTGCCATGGAAACTGAGCCATGTTTTAAAATATCTAATCCAGAGATCATTATCAGTTATAAAGGACTGATGGAACAGGGCTACGAATGGTTTCCTTAGGAATCCAGTTTTCTTCTTACTTAAGGACTCCAGAAATTCTGTATATTAGGTTATTTCCATTTTGCAGATAAGAAAACCATGGTTAAGATATATTTAAGGAGCTTTTCTTTGATATGAGTGAATAACTAATGAAAGTTTTATTCTAGCCTTTTTCTTTTAAAAAGTTTGTTCAGGGGAGGGGGTGGGGGGATGGGTCAGCCTGGTGATGGGTATTAAAGAGGGCACGTTCTGCATGGAGCACTGGGTGTTATATGCGAACAATGAATCATGGAACACTACATCAAAAACTAATGATGTAATGTATGGTGATTAACATAACAATAAAAAATTTAAAGAAAAAATAAGTTTGTTCAAGTGCAATGTAGAGGATGTTTGTTTTAATTGACAAGACAATGGTGGCACGACAGAAAATAAATGTGTTTGCTTAAACAACAAAAAGACAAGATGTCCCCTTCTAAATAAAATTTACAAATTGTCTAAACTTAAACATTATATAGAATTCAAAAGAATTCCTTTAGATCCTGTGCTATACCGGGAATACTTTTTATTATGGGTAAAAATCAAATACAATAAAATACTGGTCTAAGCCAGCACTTCGTATATCATGGACAAGTCTTATACAATGACCAGTCCAAGACCCAGCACCATGTGGAGCGTTAATTGAGGACCTTCTTTCTTTGCAACATACTCTAGTCTAAATGACCGGTCCTCAGATGTGGTCTTGGACCAGGAGCATCAGTACCACCTGGGAACTTGTTAGACATGCAAATTCTTGGGCTGCTATTGAATCAGAGACTTTGGGGGTGGGACCTGGGAATCTGATTAACAATGTGACTCACCTCTCAGGTGATTCTGATGCCCCTTAAGGTCTGAGAGCCACGGCTGAAACATTACGACGGCAAGATCTCAGGTCCAAGATGGCCCCCGGCTATGATCCTGAGGCCCCAAAATGGCAAAGTTCCAGTGGACATGCTCGAGTGGGACTGGTCTGTGCAAATGGGATCATGCTCTGTGTTGCTGAGGGCAGTGCAACGTTTGCATTAACACATTTCCATAGATACGCCAGCTATCGATGCCAAGAGAGTTTACTGCTAATCAAACAAAGTTAGCCTCAATCTTTTGTTGCTGCTATTCCTAATCCTCCTTCTCGAGGCCATTGGCAGAAGTTGTTCATGCTAAAGGAAAACTGGTTTACTTAAAACAGGGTTTCTTTGTCTTGTCACTATTGACGTTTTATCGTGAGGAGCTGTCCTGTGCATGTTTAGCGGCATCTGTGGCCTCTACCCACTAGATGCCAGAAGCAATTCCCATCCCCCTCTCCCCTCCCACTAAGGCATGACAATCAAAAATGTTTCCAGATGTTGCCAAATATCTCCTGGGGGCAAGACTGCACCCTGTTGAGAACCACTGACTTAGACCAAAACATTTCCTTCAAAGTGGTAGGAAAGGAGGGATGTGGCAGGAATAGGAGCAGGCTTCCAGAGCCCCTGGGGGCAACTCACGTTGTAGGACCGGCCATGCCTCCGTTTCCACTGTACCAGCACTATCTGGGCGATGACCAGGGTGCAGAGGAAGATCAAGATCATCTCCACGTGCATGGACTCATGGCCCCGGTGCATCTTGTACATCCTCTCCTGCTGCAAGCTGGAACCAGCAAATGAGGTCATCTGAAAAAGCCTTCAACCCTTGCACAGCACATTTAGGGGGGAAAAATGTCTGGGCTCATGGAAAGCGATTGGAGGTTTCGAATGTAGGGGGTTTTAAGTTTGATTAGAGTTTTCCTAAGTTTTTCTTGGTTTTTCCTTTTCTCCCAGGCTTACGGAGGGGGCAGCAGAGAGGAGGAGCCTGAGTTCATCAGGGAAACCAATTGCTCTCAGCCTACGAGCCTGTGTGGTTTTAGCCTCAGCCTTGTCCTTTCAAGTGAAGTGATGGGGCCAAACAAGTCACTGATGGGCTCTGGAGAGACCTGGGTGCCAGTCCCCGATCTGCCACGGGGTCGCCATACAGACTCGCGGAAGTCACTCATCCTCTCTGCATCTCAGAACCCTCCTTTGCACACTTAAAGTCATGATCCCTCTGTACTTCACATGATTGTTCTAAAACTGCAAAGCCCATGTTATTTTATTTGTTCTCAAATGAGGAATAATAATGATTATTAGCTTAAATCATATGCAATTGCCGTTTTTGAAAGTCAAAACAGTAAAACAGTGGTAATTTCAAGTAACTTTTAATATTCTGAAGTAAGAGGATATCCTGTACATGGTGCCAATGGAGAGAATATTATCCAAAGGGATCCAGAACACTCCTGAATGAACTGTATACATGTTTTTTTCATTATAAGGAGAAAGGAGAAGCCCACGTATTATCTTAGGCAGGCACAAACATTCAGATGATGGCTGAATGTCTCAGTTTTTAGCTGGGCTCTTGGGTTTGCGTAATGGTGGAGAAAACACCCTAACAGTACGTCATCTGGTTTAACTTCCTATAGCCGAAGTGACTTCAAAGAAAGCCTAGAGCAGTGGCTCTTGATGTTGGCTATAAGTTGGAAATCACTGGGGAGCTTTTAAAAGCCCCAGTGTCCAAGCTGTGCCCAGGTCAATTAAATGACCCTTTCTGCATGTTATGGGCTGAACCGTACCCACCCCCATTCATATATTGAAGTCGTACCCCCCGCCCCCTGGTTCCTCAGAAGGTGACTGTATTTGGAGATAGGAAATTTAGGGAGGTAAATAAGGTTCACTGCCAACCCTGAATTGGGCCCCAATCCAATCTGACTGGTGTCCATCTAAGTAGAGGCTATTTGGATATAAACTCACACAGAGGGAAGACCATGTGAAGGTGCTGAGAGAAGGCAGGCATCTGCAAGCCAAGAAGTGTCGGGAGAAACCAGACCTGCCGACACCTTGACCTTTGACTTCATGCCCCCAGAACCATGAGAAAGTAAATTTTTGTTGTTTAAGCCACCAGGGCTCTGGTACTTGTCATGGCACTTCAAGTTCCACATGTGATTTTAAGGGGCAGCCAAGATTGAGAACCGCAGGGTTAGAGGAAGAGAAAGCGGTCTGGGGTCAAGATTAGGGGAAATGGGAAAATTGTGAATGTCCCCAATCAAATACTTTATAAATAGTGGTTAGCATTTCACCCCCAATGGGGCACCATCAGTCAAGAAATCTCTTGAAGTTTCCACTTATGACTGGTTATAGTGTGCATTTGATGTACCCATCAGAAAACACTGCAGGGTAATATTCTGTGCCATAAGATTGTGACCTTTTAAAGGCACTCATTGGGTACGCAGGTTGGGTTCTCCCCCTTTACCGGTAATTTCTACAGCTACACTAAAGAGTAAAGTACCAAGTGCCTCTGAAAAGGGCACTGAGGGTGCCCCCTGCTGGAGAATGTGTAGAAATGAGCCTGCAGAGCCTAGTAAATACTCTTGCCTTAGTTCACCTTTGAGATGGAATCTTAGAACCTTCATGCTGGGAGGTACATTAGATGTACTGAAACCCCTACATTTATCAAATGAAGAGGCTGAAGTCCATACCAGGTAAGCAACCTGAATAAAATTACATTGTTAATAGTCTCTGCGTTGGAAGCTGAGCTTAAGAGACAAGAATGGTTTTCAGAAGCTCGTTAAAAAACATACTCGTGGGGGCGCCTGGGTGGCTCAGAGGGTTAAGCATCTGCCTTCGGCTCAGGTCATGATCCCAGGGTCCTGGGATCGAGTCCCGCATCGGGCTCCCTGCTCCTTGGGAGCCTGCTTCTCCCTCTGCCTCTCTCTCTCTCTCTCTCTCTCATGAATAAATAAATAAAATCTTAAAAAAAAAAACATACTCGTTCCTTTGAAGAAATGGGAAGTGAAGAAAAATAAAAGGGCACAAGCACTTATAGCCTTTACAGCCCCAAATCCAAAATAACTATTTAATATTCTATTTAATGAATAGACTTTCAACTTAGGCCATGTAGATAGAAAAGTGAATTTATCATCAGTCTAAAATAGGGCTTGCATAGATATAAAACAAAATATGCTTTATGACATTCATTTATTTTGTGTATATATATATGTGTGTGTATATATATATATATATATATATATAATGAAAACATATCTCAAATGGTTAGCCTATGTGGAAGTACTTTGGAAAGTATAAAGTAGTGTGTAAATATAAGTATTTCCTATTTTGATTAGGAATACATTCATAATTGATTACCATAATGCAAAAAAGGAGGAACTTTTCATTTTTGTTTCATTTCTTTTGGTGCCCACAGAGCCCTAGTAAGTACCAGAACACAGGGGAAACAGCATATAAAGAAAACCAGATGTATCTTGTGCCTAAAATAAAAACTAACTTGACACTGCCCTATTTTGAAGGGACGTCCAAATCTAGCTTTGTGGGACTGCGTGAAGCACACTGTAGGAAACAGGTGAAACCCCTTTGGTTTTGGCCCATGCTATCAGTGCACATGCACGCTGTGCTAGCCCGCCTTCTGTAGCCTGAGACATTTACAAATAAATCATAGTTTCATTTAATTTCTCAAACTGTTAAGGTAGAAATGTAATATTTAGTGTAACAGCTGTAAAAAAAAAAAGGCTCATCACTTACTTCCACTCATCATCCGCAGAAAGCTTTGTGTGAGAGATCTGGAAAAAAAAAAACAAAAAACAAAAACAAAAAGAGCCCTTCTCAAAATTTCTTTGTTCTTTTCAGCTTGTATTTTATAGCATTACATGGGAAACCCAAACCATAAAAAATAGTGATGTTTCCTAGTACTAGAGTAACTTAGGATTAAAAGCCCTAGTAGAATATTTGCTTACAGAACACACACACACACACACACACACACACACACACCCAAGAGTATTCAGGTTACTATTAATAAATATTTGATTCTGCTCCTAAGTCAGAGAACCAGATGAGGCTCCATTCCCATAGTTTATTTGGCAATTCAGTGAAGACTGTAGAGAGTGGCCTCCCAGTAGGCAGTGTCACCCTGGCTTTTGGGATAGGATATGGGAATCCTAAAAAACATCTCTTGCTGGTGTTTTAAATGATGCCGGTGAGTAAATATCTGCAAGTTCAAGGTTTTAGAGATAGAGATGACCAGAGGCTTTACTTGTTTGGAGCATTTTTTTGTGTTTTCCTGCTAATTTAATTTACAGCTTTGCCCTTACAGACTGAGCTGGAGAGCACAGACCCCACCCCAGGAAGTGCTTTTGGATGACCTACAGATTGTAGCCACGTGCTGCCTTCCCTTGAGCACAGCTAATCCACTACATTTGGTCATTTGAGACCTTTAAGGCAATCCTTGAAAAGATATAATCTTATAATTTTCATGGAGAGCACAGAGAGCTTAATCCCTCATCCTATATGTTTAGAGCTAAAATCCCCAATGATGGCAAAGAAGGGAAGGCAAATAAAGCATTTGTTACACAAATATGATCCTAACTAGGTGTTTTTTCTGTATTCTTCAAATGGCACCAGCAAATTTGACTGATGGGAAAAAAACAGTGCCATCCATAGTTCAGTCTAGGTTTCTCTGACTCAGGGTAACCAGGTTCCATAATAAAACCCGTGCTTCTGCCAGAGGCTTGAGGGGTTCCCTTAGAAGAGAGGACAAAGCTTCAGATGACACTGCTAGGGAGAGGCTTAGGCAATATTTGCACAGTGCCAGGACTTGCCAGAGAATGCCAGGAAAGGGGAAGTGGGTGAAGCAGCCAGTGATGCCGGTAGCTTCTCTATGGCTCCCCTGCTTCTGGATGATTCCATCAGGTGGTCCCCGACATTCAAACAGCTGGGCTCCAGTGCTGCCTTCTGGGAGCAAAGCCTTAGGGGCCACCCTTAGGGAGTAGTAGTACCGGAGTCCCCACCTGTCTGAGAGGTCCCTCCCTCTCTGTGGACTGCTGCTTCGGGGTCAAAAAAACATTGCATGGGTTTAGAGCCCCGAACCATGCATCCATTTAGCACCACCTGGCACTGAACATTGAGCTAATGGTTGCTTGGGTGACTGTGGGCACAGCACTAGCCTGTGATTGTCTCAGTTCCCGTATCAGAAACTGGAGATTGATAGAATAGCTGCTCTTGTTAAACTTGCTGGGAATGTTGTGAGTATAAATAAGATGCTACATAAGAGTTTTGTTGGTGCTTAATCCAAGGGCCAATTAACTCAATTAAGAGTTATAATCTAGGAGTGCCTGGGTGGCTCAGTTGGTTAGGCGGCTGCCTTGGACTCAGGTTGTGGACCCAGGGTCCTGGGATCGAGCCCCACATGTGAGTCCCTGCTCCGCGGGGAGCCTGCTTCTCCCTCTGCCTGCCGCTCCCCCTGCTTGTGCTCTCTCATTCTCTCTTTCTTCCTGACAAATAAATAAATAAAATCTTAAAAAAAAAAAAAGAGTTATAACCTATAGGACTCCCCGGCTGCTTCTCTTTTTGCTATTCAGGATCATAGGGTTCACAGTGCTTCTTATTAAAGTCAACTTAAAAAAGGGAACTGAGGGCCCACCTGGATGGCTCAGTCGTTAAGCGTCTGCCTTCAGCTCAGGTCATGATCCCGGGGTCCTGGGATCGAGCCCCGCGTCGGGCTCCCTGCTCCGCGGGAAGCCTGCTTCTCCCTCTCCCTCTGCCTCTCTTTCTGCTGGTGCTCTCTCTCTCTCTGTCATGCTCTCTCTCAAATAAATAAATAAAATCTTTAAAAAAAAAAGGGAACTGAGTTTTTAGTTAAGTTGAGAAGAAAAATTACCTTTGCCTTTTACTAGTCATATAGCACTGGGTCTAAATGTATAACTATCCACCAGATTCTAAGTCATTCATTTTTAGTGAAGTATGATACATTATTCTACTGAAGACCAGAAAAGCTTAGGGAGTGGAAATTAGAGTTGAAAAGTTTTCTGCTAAACACAAGTTAAGAACTTTGTTAGATCAAGTGTACTGAAAAATACTCTCATTTCCTAGGGAAAAAGTGAATATAATGATGATGATGATGAAGATATTTTCAGAGATATCTCTTTTCTAGTAATAGTTCCCTATAGTACAATATTTTTTTCCTGGGGTGGAGTCTACTTTTTGACAATTTTTTTCTGGTATGTTATTATGCAAGCCCACTTAATATCTTACGAGGATTTATTTTGGAATTAAAATGACACTAAAATTCATCTGGAAAAATAAGCATATAAGGATAGCCAGGAAAACTCAGGAGAAGAGTAAATACTGGACAAGTGGCCTACCAGATGCTGAAATACACAATAAAGCCACCGAAATTAACTGAAGGTGTTACTGGCCCAGGAATAGGAAGACAGATGAGTGGACAGAACACAGGGTCCAGGAACAGATCCAAGTACATATGATAAATGAGTCACTTCAAGTCAGTGAGAAAAAAAAAATGGATTGTTCAACAAACGTTGCTGAGACAACTGGATGGGCATTTGGAAAAAAATACAGAGCTGTATCCATACCCCATCTCAAAATAAATTCCAGATGGATCAAATATTTAAATGTAAAAAAGAAAGTCTTAAAAGCACTAGAAGACAATATGGGTAAATGTTTTAATAATCACATAGTGGACAAAGTATTTTTAAGTATGAGGTAGAGATCAGAAATTATTAAGTAAAAGAAAAAGCAACAGACTTTTTTTTTCTAGGCAGGATGAAAGTTGGAACTTTGAGGGTGAGGGTGGGTAGCCAGGAGGAGCTCAGGGTCAGAGCCTTGCCCAGAGGGATGGTGGAAAACTTGTGGGACTTTGGGGAATTTGGTTGGACCAGAAACCAGGTTGGGGTCACATGGAGAGCCTCAGGGGGTCCATCGAGAGGGCTAGTTGAATCTTTAGACCCCAGCGTCCCCCAGCCCCACCTTCTCTTAGGGACAGTGAAGTGGCTGGCTGGGCCAGGGGCAGGCAGGCAGAGACGGTAGAGGAAAAGGTACAGTGGCTGTCCATTCACTCCAGCCCTGGATGAGGCACAATCACTTGATTACTGTGGGCAGAGAACCCAGGGTGCCTGTGGGCTGGGGATGGAGAGGTGGGGTACATGGGCTGGGCTGGGAGGTGGCCCCTGCATTCTCCTGCTTCTGGATGCCCCCCCCCCCCCCGCAGGGCTGAGGGTGAGAAGGGCCATCCATGGGGTTGGGAAGGATAAAGCCCTCTGAGCCCTGGAATCTTCTGTGCGGACCTCTGCCTGCCACCTGCCGGGAAGGGTCCACCACTGGTTCCTGAGAAGAGCTGAATGTTGTTGCTTCTGGAGAGTGGGAAATCAGGAATGGGAAAGGGTGGAGAGGTCATGGGGCCCCACTGTTTTTTTTTTGTTTGTTTGTTTGTTTTAAGTCTTGTAGAACTATTTGACTCCTTAAAATGTGGATGTACATAATTTTAATAAAAATTAATATTAAAAGGAAAAAAATGTCCATAACAGTAAGATATGATTTTCACTTAAAAGTATGACAAGGGGAACAATTTTTAGTGGCCAGAGCTGATGAGGAAAAATGGTCTTCTCATGCCCTTCAGATGTATTGTGTACATTAAGACAGTTTCTCTGGACAGAAATTTGGCGAGGCATGTCAAAATTTTAAGTGTTCGTTTATCCTATGTAGAATAGTCTAGGAATATTCTCTCATGAAATGAAGAGAAAAATACACAGGGAAAGATCACACAGGTGTTTGCATAGTTTTATTTATAATATTGAGAAATTGGCCACAATCTATGTGTCAACCCATGGGGGATCGGTTAATGAGTTATGATATATCTATAACAGGAAATCTGCTGGCTCTTTAAAATGATTGTGCAGATCTATATTTATTGACATAGAAGTATCTCCATGACATATTGTTAAGAGAAAAAGCATGCTTCAAAAACAGTTTTATATAATGTAAACCTATTAATGTAAATATAGAGTCACATAGAATCAAGAACCATCCAGAAGAAAGATGTCCAGAATGGTCACCAAAGTGCTAACAGGAATGATCCATGAATGCTGATGTCTATTGGAATATTTACTCCTTTTTTATACTTGTCTATATTGACTATATTCTGCATGAACATATGTCACTTAAATGAAGAAGTCATTTTTTGGGGGGGGAATAACATGTTTCATTTTTTATAAAATTTTTTCTTAACATATGTTGCATTATTTGTTTCAGAGGTACAGGTCTGCGATTCAACAGTCTTGCACACTTCACAGCGCTCACCGTAGCCCATACCCTCCCCAGTGTCTATCACCCAGCCACCCCGTCCCTCCCACCCCCCACCACTCCACCAACCCTCAGTTGAAGAAGTCATTTTGATTCCGCTTCTCCTTTTTCCTTGTCTCTGAGTCGCCAAGTCTTTTTTCCCTGCAGCACATTCCTATTTATCTCTCTTCCTGTTTTATCTCACTTTTGAGCTTCAGATTCTTCTACCCAAGGGCCTTTTACAGATCTCCACTTGGATGTCCCTCAGACACACAAACTCAACCTGCCCCAACCTGAACATATTAATTTCCCCCCAACCTGCTTCCACTTCAGTTTCCCCTTCTCACTCAGCAGCTCCACATCCCATCTATCCAATCATTCAAAACAGAACTATGGGGCACCACACTTGACCCTAGCCTTCCACCTCCAACCCAGTACCCTCCTGCTGACCTTATGAAAGTACCTGGCCACCCACGTCTTTCCACCTCAACGGCCTCTATGCCAACCGTTTTCTTCATTCATTGAACAAATACCTATTGAGTACCTCCTGGGTGCCAGGCCCTGGGCTAAGAGCTGGCATATGATAAAGGTCAGACAGACAAGGTTCCTGTTCTCATGAATTGAGCCTTGTGTTCTAGAGAAAGTACGGATAATAAACAAGTAAGGAAAACGATGACCTAAGGTGGTAAATTCTATGAAGAAATGAAACCGAGCGTGTGGTAAAGAAGAGCCAGCACGGGGAGGGGCTGTTACCCTTTAGACTGCTTGGCAAGGGAAAGCCTCCCTCAGCCTGCGGAGAGATCCAGCGGGTGTGTAGAGTGTTCCCTTCTTCCCGGAGGGACTCTTGCCTTCACTCCTTTTCTCCCTTCAGGCAGTGAGGGTGATCCAGGTACAAGCAAAATGATCACATTGGATCCCCTGCTCAAAACCCAAGTGGCTACACTTGTCACTAACACGGCTCCTGTGGCCCTTTTCAGCTTCATTTCTCTCCAGAACCCCTACACACCCTCTGCTCCAGCCAAGCAGAGCCTTCCTTCCCCTGAATGCTCTTCCCCCACCCCCAGACACGCTTTGGGGATGCCCTGGATTCTACTCCCTCCAGGAAGCCTTTGGGGTTAGGCCTCTGCGGTAGATCCGTTGTCCACTGAACATTGTTACCACACAGCATAGTCACTGGTGATTTATTACTTGTCTTACCCCACCCTGAATACCCCGTCTGGCACATCACACACTCAATCAATATACAGTTGACCTCTGAATGATGCAGGGACTAGGGGTGCCAGGCCCCCATACAGTCAGAAATTGGGGTATAACTTTTGATTCCCCAAGGCTTAACTACTAATAGCCTGCTGTGGACTAGAAGCCTTCCCAATAACATAAACGGCTGATCAACACATACTGTGTAGGTTATATGTATTATTACTGCGTTCCTACAATAAAGTCAGCTAGAGGAAAGAAAATGTTAAGAAAATCATAAGGCAAATGCATTTACAGTACTGCACTGTCAATAATCCATGTATACATGGACCTGTGCAGTTCGAACCCGTGTTGTTCAAGGGTCAACTGTATCTGAAAACTGCCTCCCTCCCAGCACCAGACTCACCATTTCTCACCTCAGCTGCTGCCTCCAAATGGGTTTCCCCACTTTCAACTCTTTCCTCACAAAAATCCACCTGTTAGAAAAATCTTGCTAAAATGCCTGACAAAACCAGAACACTCAACTCAAACTACTGGTGTCCCTGGGACGTATGTGAGGGAGGTAAGGATGTGTCAGGCTTGGAGGGCTGTGTTTAGTGATACGGAATCTATGTCACTGGGCGAGGACAAAGCTTCCATGGCTGGAAGGGGAGGGAGGGGTTATGTCAGGCCTACTTCAAGGCAGAGAACAATGCTGGGGCAGAGGTAGGTCCTCTGGGGGAAATCAGAGGCTGAAAAGCAGGCCTCAGACAAGCAGAAGAGCAAACTGCTGAATCCCCGCTATCTGCTCTCTTGCACCCCAACTCTGAGGAGTCTCAGGAGCAGATAGGGTGTAGCTGGCTCGCAAGACCACAGGGGAGATAGCTGGGGAGGAGAGTGGGGAACAGGGAGATGGTGTTTGTCATAAAGAGGTAACACAGGGAGCTGGGCAGACTAGAGTCCCAGATCATGAGGTTGTTATGTTTATTATTCATTCACTGATTTGTCCAATAAACATTTCCTGAGGCCCTGCCATATGCCAGGCTCTGTGCTGGGTTCTGGAAATACAGTAGCCTGCAAAGCAGATCAAGTGCTTGCTTTGCTGGAGCTTCCAAGGTGATGGAGGTTCTCAGAAAAACAAATATACAACTAGCCATGCTTCAGGGGGTAATAAGGATGATGAATGAAAATAAAATAGGGTAAGGTTTAGAGTCAGAGGGTGCTGTAATATACAGGGTGGTCAGTAAATGCTTACGGGGTTGGGGTGGTCAGTAACCATATCTGTTTTTCTTTTATTATCCTCAGCTCTTATAAAGTCCGTTTTAAACTAGCACTTCTCAAACTTTGATGTGCAGTCACCCAGGGGTTTGGTTAAAATGCAGATTTTAAGCCAATAGGTTTGGGGTGGGGGACTGAGACTCTGCATTTCCAATTGGCTTCCAGGTGACACCTTGGCTGTTGGTCCCTGGACCACATGGCTCTGCTATGGGGGATTAAGGGAAAAGCTGTGAGTTCCTCCTGGGGAAGAGTTAACAGGGGACCACGTCTTCTGAGGGCAGTGGGCAAGGCAGTGATGGCAGCCTTAAGGGACAGCAAACATCAGCTGCAGAAGGTGCCAGTCTTCTGCCCTTCCCAGCTTGCAGACTTCTTCATCCATAACCCGCTGTGAATGATCTGATCTGGGTCTGAAACCAGCAAGTAAGTCAGGGAGTTCCCTTATAGCTTCCCCATTTTAGAGAATAGATCCCCACTGCATAGTGTGTTACAAGATTTGTTATAACTCAGCTCTCCCTTCCTATAAGCCTTCATGAACCCTGGATTTCTGCCAGGGTCATAGTGACTATCCACGACCACCCCCCAACAATTTTTTTCACCCCAAGTGATTTGGTATTCCTGTTTCCTCCATGGAGAATTCTCATTTCCCCTCACGGCCACATGGAATCTCATCCACCCTCTGAGGTCCAGCTCACAATAGCCATGCCACACCCCCAGCCTCCAAACAGCCTTGCCCACCCTCCCTGTCAGAAGCAATTCCTTGCTCCTAGAAATCCTACAAAACTTCACCCAAACCTCTTTGGGGACAGTAATCTCTTCCTACCCTCTGTGAGTTATTTTATCCTTGTTATACTTTCTTCCCAGGATGTGAACTCCCAGAGGATACCTCTAACTGCCCCTTTACCCATGAGTAGCACAGTTCCTAGTATGTGATCATGGCCTACGAATCGTCTATAAATGAAAAATATTAATGACTTGGATTTGAAATCACCAAAGGGCATTGGGGGGAGAGTCTGGGAGGAGGAAAGTGCTAGCCCAGAGGTTCTCAAAGCTTGAGCATCAGCACCTCCTGGTAACTAGTCAGACTTGCAAATAGATAGTCAGGCACTATCCCTGATGTCAGGAATTAGAAACCCTGGCTGGGGGCAGAGCCCAACTGTCTACCTGCTTTTTAACTAGCCTTCAGAATGATTGTGATGCACGCTGCCGTGTGAGAACTGTAAAGTCAAGCCTGATGTACACCCAGCACCCTTCAGCTGTCCTCGTCTAATGCCCACGGCCTTCACCTGGGCCCTGGGGCTTCTGCCAGGGAGCAAGGAGAGAGGGGCAGCCAGTACGGAGGACAGGGAATGGACAGGGATGAGTCGGTAAGAGTCCTTCAGAGGACACGTGGGGGAGGGAAGCTGGAAGAAGGAAGGGGTAGGGGAGGAGAAAGGGGAGAAGGAGCAGAAGAGGGAGAGGGAAAGAGGGAAATGGAGAGGGGTTCGTCTTCCCTGGGGTAGGGTAGGCTGAGGCGAAGCAACGAGCACCTTCCAGAAAGGTCATCGCCCCTCCATCCTGCGCCAGGGCGGGGGACTCGGAGGCCCGTCCGTGCGGCCACCCAGCCCCCGCGTGAGCCTCGGGACTCTAGCCCCGTGTCCCCCGGCCTGCGCCCCGCGCCCGGTACCTGCTTGTGCTGGGGAGGCGCCTCCTGCACCGGCGCCGCCTTGCGCACCGCGGCCCCCGCGGCCATGCCTCCGCCGCGGCGCCCGCCCTCGGCCGCGCAGTCCCTCGCGCCGCGCGGGCAGGGGAGGGTCTCTGGGAGGCCCCCGGGCGGGGAGGGGGCGCCCTGCCCCGCGAGCGCCGGGGGCGAACTGTGCCTGCGGCGGCCCCGCCCCGGGTCCTGCGGTAGCGCGCGCAGACCGCCTCCGGGAGCGCCGCCCCTCCGCCCCGCGCCCGCGGCCCCGCCGCCCGCAGAGGCGGGGGCTCCGGATCCTCCTCCCTGTCACTGCCCCGAGAGCCTTTGGGGATCTTTCCCTCTGCAGGCACGCAGTTGTCGGCCACCGTGGCGCTTACCGCGTCCTGCGCCTGGCTCCTGCCGGCGGTTTTGTCCCAGGCGGCAGGGCCGGAGAGCCGCCCAGAAGTAAGGTGGGAAGACATGTGGGGAGTACCGAGAGTGAGAAATGGAGAGGAGAGAGGGAGCGAGGGGTCGTTTTCTCTTGGCTCTTTCCTTCAGAAGCCTTTATCCGAAGACGGGAGTTCAGGTGGCCGTCCAAAACTGGGACACTGAACTTCGGTTTCATCTCCAGTTGCGTACCTGTTCCTGGGCCCAGCGCCCCTCCTTCCCTGTTGTCTGCAGTTTTAATATACTGGACAGGTCCCTGATGAAGTCTCACTTGGCCCCTCCAAAGATGACAAAGGGGAGAAACCCTGTGGGGAGAGAAGGCAGACCCTCTGGGCCTCTGTGCGGCTCTGTGCCTGCACTTCCCCTGGGAAATCACCCACAACTTGCCTTTGTCCCCTCCACCTTCAGGGGGAATTCTCCTTCCCCTCAGCTGTAGACCCAGTATGGATTTATGGCAGGGAACAGGCTGGGGCATTTGGCGAAGCCTTTAGAAATGCACTGGTAGGGAAATAGACAAAAAGGGAACACATAAGTATATAGTCTGACTTATAAAATATGGCTCGCTCCCTTCCAGTTTGTGGTGACTCATAGTTTTCAACACCTGCAAGGAGCTACCAGTGGAGACTGATGAAGAGATGGACACATCCCTGCCATTGTAGAACTTATGGTCCAGCAGGGTGTAGAGACAAACATTCAGGACAATTAACTGTGGTAAGTGCCTTCCTCTTCCAAGTACTTTACTCTGTGTTAACTCATTCAGTTTTCACAACAAGGCTACCAGGTAGGTGGTGTTATTCTCTCCATTTTACAGGAGGACATTGAATTACAGAGAGGTGCAGAAGTTTGTCCAAGTTTCAAAGCTGGTAGGTGGTGCAGTGGGAATGTGCCTTTTGGCTTCAAGGGTGGGCAGGAGGACTCACCTATGGTTCAAGTCAGGGGGACCAGTCAGAAAGCTATTGCTGTAGTTCCAGTTAAAGATGGCAATGGCCTTGGTGGTGTTATGTGAGTATGTGCAGGGATGGGGTGGAGGAGAGATGGAGAGACGTGGATGGAGCCAAGAGATCTAGGTGATAGAATCTGTAAGACTTACTGATCCTCAAGGACGGCTCTCAGTCATGTGGCTTGAGCAGCTTGGGTGCTGAGAGTGGGAACACTGAAAGAGCAGCGGATTTCTGGGAACAAAGATAATGAATTCATTTGGACATGTTGCCTTCCTACCTAGCTCTTGGCCTGTCTTCATGTGGCAAAGGCCATTTTTTTTTCCTCCAGTCTAGGATGTCCTCAAATTCATCTGGATTCCTCTAAGTCAGGTACCCCCCCAACACACAAATGTCGGGGTAGAAATAGAATTTCCCTATCCTATAAAATTCTGGCCTATTATTATTATATAAGTTCTGACTCCCTGATATGAGATTCTCTTCCCTGGTTGATTGACACCAGAAATGTCTACATATTTCACTGGAGACACCTGTGAGCACAAAGGGAGTCATCTTCCTTCTGATTTCAGCTCAATAGTCAGCAGGGAATAAAACTCAAAAAGTTCATTTCTTCCCCATTGTTAGTGATGGACTTGCTCTACTGTATTAAACCTGTTTCCTTTCCTGACTCATTTCCAGATATAGAACTAATACCTTGTTTCCCAGAAAGGTAACCATTGCTTTCTGGAGTGGTTTACCCAACCAAAGTTAATTACTTTGCAAATTTGTTTCCCAAATCAAATGCTTGGCAACTGAGTGTCATAAATCCTGAAATAAATCAACAGCCTTCCTGTCGTTTAGCGCTAATTTCTTTAGCATATTAGCCATAGCTCATGTATCCTCCTGTCGTGTCTTGATCTAGAGCCCTGAGATGATTGTAATGATGTAATGAAAGAAATGAGCTAATGTCATAAAGGTGTTTGAAAAACAAGGTGGATTCAAGAATAGTTAGAAAATTAAGTAGGCTATTTGGTGCAGGAATAGAGAAATAGACCCATGGAACAGAATAGAAAGCCCCCCAAATAGACACATGGATTTACAGGAAGCTAGTTTTAGGACAGGGGAGACAAATCATCAGGGATACAGGGACTATTTAGTAATTAGCTTGCCATATCAAAACAAAACAGGTGATTTAAAAAGCAAAACTTGAAGAAGACAATTTAAATGAATATCATTATCATCTCAAGATGGTGAAAAATATATTAGACAAAACTGAAAAGGAACAAATCATAATGGAAAAGATTGGTAAATTAGTCTATGTTAAAATTTTAAACTTCTGTACAATAAAAAATTGTCATTGAAAAGAAGCAAGCCAGGACACCTGGGTGGCTCAATCGGTTAATGGTCTGCCTTCGGCTCAGGTCATGATCCCAGGGTCCTGGGATGGAGTCCCACGTCCACGCTCCTTGCTCAGCAGGGAAACTGATTCTCCCTCTGCCTCTGCTGCTCCCCCTGCTTGTGCTCATTCTGTCTCTCTCTGATAAATAAATAAATAAACAAACAAACAAATAAATAAATAAATAAAATCTTAAAAAAAAAGCAAGCCATGCACCAAGAGAATGTATTTGCCTATATCTAGCTGTCAAAGAATTAGTGCTGGGAAAAACCATAACTGTTAAAAATTAATTTTTAAAAAGTGTAAATCAGTAGAATTTAGGCAAGGGATATAAACCAATTTTAAGAAATAAAATTATGAGACATTTTGTAATTTTAAGGGAATTAGTTATTGCATTTATGTATATGTGAGTTAATCTAGAATGCACTTCACAGGAACGCCTTGTGTATGTTAAATTACTTATTGCAAAGTGGCTGCTTTCAGCCTTCCTACCCACTTCGTGACCAGCACTCATTAATGTTTCCCTTTTCTGCTGTTCTTCGCAGGACAACCCAACTGCCCTGGGCTGATGGTGCCACCTAATGGTAGATCTTACAGAAGTCCTCTCTATTGCCTTACAAATGGTCTTTTTCAAGTTACTCCTTTTCTCTTTTCTCATGTCTTTTTCATATTTACAGATAAAATATTTATATTTGATCCTTAACCTCACTGCTAGAATGGGTGATTTTGAATGTCTCTAACCAGGTGCGGTATTGGTCACATGGAGCAGGGTGGTAGAGGAAGAGAGTCCAAACAACTGTGGGGCCTCCCCTCCTTGAAGGGGATGGCAGTAGTAGAGGCCGTCTAAATGGGGGTGGGGGTGTCAAATTAAAACCATCCAGGCGATGTTAGTATCCGAGAGAGCTCGTCTGATCTCAGAAATCAGTGTGAAACAGGCACCAAATGTTCCGCACTTCTGTGATCCTTGGGGTCAGGGGCAGACTGGGTCGTAAATGGGAGTAATCATGTCTAAAAGGAGAGGGACACGGAAGCTAGGTCCTACTGTGGCTGATGAAATGGCTGCATAGAAATACTCCGGCTAACTTTTTCAGTCATCCTCCACCCTCTACCCACCGCCCCCACGCTGGGTGCTAGGTTGGCCTTCAGGTGCAGCCGCTAGCCTCTTAGAATTGGTAGAAATCGTGCAAGCTAGTCTAATTCCCAACTGCTGGGGGTCCTGACTACCATCCCATTGTTCCCTGGCCTCTCAGCCTCACTGAACAGACATTTTCATCCTCCATTCATTAAACCTACGTGTGCTTAAAGATTACCACTCAGGACAAATGAAAGATACTCAACTTTATTGCTTATTTCAGTCTTTTTTTTTTTTTTTAAGATTTATTTATTTGAGAGAGAGAGAGAGCAAGCACATGCACACGAGTCAGGGGAGGGGCAGAGGGAGAATCCCAAACAAACTCCCCACTGAGTGGGGAGCCCATGGTGGGGCTTGATCTCACCACCCATGAGATCCTGACCTGAGCCAAAATCACAAGCTGGACGCCTAACCGACTGAGGCACCCAGGCACCCCTGTTGATCTCATTCTTTAGTTATTAGTATTGTAATATTATTGACCTCTACTCTTTTTCGGGCTAAAATGTACAGAGAGTAGCTATATTATGATTACATGGAGTTTTGTGAGCTGGCGTGTGGCCCTAATCACCATTTACAACGTTGCTTCTTTGGGAAAGTGCATTTTGCCTTTCAAACCACAGCCTTCCAAATGCATATTTGGGACACAATCCATTTGTGAGCTGGGAACCCTCTGTATTAATGTCTGTTGGCCCAGGGCAGCCCCACAACCAAATGACATGTGGTTTAAGGTTCATGTTAACAGCCGGTTCATTTAAATAATGTTAGCTGGAGCTCAGTCCAGGTTCTCAGGTTTCTGGTTAAATTGGAATAGGGGAGGCAGCAGAATGACTGTGTTCAAACAGCATGTGTGGGACGCCCCACTCGCTGTAGAGAGATGGCACGTTCCTGCTTTTCATGATTTTCCCTGTAGGTTTCAGGACTGAGCCTCTTCTGAGGGCAAGCTTTAAAGTTCTGTTGAACAATTGATCCTGAAAAAGAACTGCTTTTAAAAACCAACTATACTTCCCAGCTTGGAAGTTCAGCTAGGGTCATTCTCGTTTATTGAGTTCAGGGGCCCTCTCAGTGGGAGGGAAAACCGCATTTAAGTCCTTGATGGGGCTCCTTGCCCTCCCCTCCCCTTGTTTTCCTTTCCTGGTGTCTCTTTGAAGAAGTCTCATCTTTAGTAAGTTAGAAGCCAGACGGC